TTCGGCTTGTGAAGGTAGCGCAGTGAAAGATAAGTCAAAATCCTGAAAATCACTATAAACACCAAAAGCGCGCCAGCATTCTCGCCAACACCTCTAGACACGTTCAGTTTTTCTAAAATTTCTCTGCCCTCTATAGCAGTCCCATTGTTCCTGCAACCAGCATACGATGAGTCTTCCCCTTGGCAACTACACAAGGTAACAAAGAGTTTTTTCTAGATGAAAAAAAAAACATTTAGCGCATTACGGTAACCATGAGAAAGGACTCACCTAAATGTGGGAGAATTACTGAATTCAATGCTAAGGGTCGCATCATACGAATAAGCTATGTAGGCCACGTACTGGACCCAAGATAGCCACCAGGGTATGTTTTTCTGATAAAATCCGCCCAGCAACATACAACTTAGGCCATAAACAGCAGCAACCACTATTGACTTCTTGAATTCCATAACTGTAGCACCGATACACAAACCTACAGACTGAACGGCACAGCGGTATTAACTTTACGGAATCATTAAAAAAAAACGAGAGAGAGGAAGACAGGAAATAAATTAAAATAGACGATTGAAAGAGAACTTGCAATGAAACATTGTTATATTTTCTATTAGGGCATTTATTTCACGCTGTGATTTTCAGAGGATCGTAGTGAAGACTAAACTTTACCTTTAACTGCCAATGAGATAACAATGTGCATGACTTAGAGAAGTACAGAGAGTAAGAGATGAAAGCTACGTGTAACCCACTGAAGCATTAACAACAAAAGGTATTATACGAGGGGAGGGGAGGGAGCCTTATACTGCAGAGGTGTATCCTCATTTCCCAAGCTACAGATTGATGAGAAGTATTGCTATTACTTCATCTAGATGGGTTGCAGGTAACCTTCTGTAATTTTTTAAACTGCCAAACAATTCCGCCAGATAGTGTGACAGATAAACCTGTATAGACTGGGCTGGAGCCTGAACTTGAACGTACATGCAGACTAATCCAAGGGGCCCTACCTGTTTGGTAGATACCTGTTTGGTAGATATACCTCTCATGATCTCACTTCTCACCTGCCCCGTGATGGCTGTTAACAAAACCACAGAGAGCGTACCAACGAAAGCCTCGCTCCTGTTCAGTCCTGCCATCCAATACACAATGATCATGAACAGAGTCGGGTAACATAAGATCAGTGGTAATTCACTCAACGACTTGGCTAAATAGTAGGCAGACAGTCTGTAATAACCAGCTGCGCGTTCTTTTCTCACGACAGTTCTTTCATTGGGAACTGCAGGTTAGCCAAGAAAAATAAATAAATAACAGGGAACAGTCTCAAAGAGAATTAAAAAAAGTCAACAACAATTATTGTCCATTAACAATATAGAGGAATTAATTTTGAAATAATCCAGAATTATGAAAAAAAAAAAAAAAAAACACGATACATAATAACTACAAACTCACATGACATCAGTGAACTGAAGAGGGAAGTGAAGTTCCAGTAGACAACGCAAAAAAATAGCTGCCAAAAAATGAAAAAAAAAAGATGCACTTGTCTGAATCAATACATCCACCAGATATTTTCCTATAAGATCGAATTAAAAAACTTTCCTAGATTAGGCAATGAATGACAACCGTATAACAACAACATTAACATACCAGTGAGTATCTGTCTTCAATACTCTGCTCTTCGTAAGGACGCTGGAACCAAATCAGGGCAATTACGAAAGCAAGAAGTATATGCTAAAAATAGGGTTATAAAATGACATGTTCAACACCTTCAAAAAATTGGAATTATTTTAGAACTTGGTAAGAGAGAGTACACAAACAACACAAATAGACAAGTCCCAGCCTGTGGTATGTTTTCGCTCCTACATGGGGAGAAAAACAAAATTTTGAAAGCAAAATGAAAGTTTTCAGCAAGGGAAGCAGTTAGCTTGGCCAACTGCTTCATTTTACAATGCCTTTTTTTTGGTTTCAAAACCAGCAGAGGCTTGTTTGCGGGCTACTACATTCTGCAGAGAAAATCTTCTTTATCTAAAATAACGATTCATCTATTAGCTTTGTAACTGGTGAGATAATTCATGTCAAAGGCAAGCACAAAGTGCAAGTGCTAAACTAGAGAAGTAGGAGTAGAGTCACCAATTTTCTCTTTACATTCCCCACACCCTTGTACCTCTGCTCCATTGAAAAGAAATCTTATTGCCTTGATAGGCTTTAGGTACATTGTTTTGCTTTTACCCTTAAGAATCAAAGGGATGTACTTACCTGTGTGAAATTCAGTTTGGAGAGAATATCAGGCTTGGACTGCTTAAAAGTTCTTTGCATGAGAACTGTGAATTGTGTCCAAAAACTTGTAGGCCAAGATGTGGAAATATCAGAGTATGGTGATGAATAATCTTCATCATCATCATGAACATCAATATCTATTTTGGAATAATCATGTGAGGTACTTCGCGTATATGTGACAACAAACAAATGGAAAACTGCTGAGGATACCCGAGCTAAAGCGTGGACTTGTGGGAGAGGATCAGAAGATTTAGTGAATGAACCTCTCACACTTCTCCAAAGGGTCTTAGATAACGATGGTTTGGGACTTGAAGCCAAAAGATTTGAACTCTCAATCCACTCTGAAACCTCTACACATATTTCATCAGTAACTGATGGTACATGTCCATTTCCTGTTTTATTTTCTTTTTCCAGCCTTAGAGAATCCTTCAGTACATCTTGGTTAACAACCTGTGACCTCTGTGCACTCACATCTCCATATAGAACCCCTCCAGAACTTGCATCATTTTCTATTTCAAGGACTACAGAATTATCATGCACCATATCTAGACTAACTAGGCCAGACCTGTCCTCTGTGTTTGGTAATCCTTCAATTGCAGTTGGTTGCCCATCTTTCTGATGAGTATTACTTACAGCCATCACATTTTCTTGATCAAGTGATTTTTCAGAACTTTCGCAGCTTATAATTGCAATAATATCATCTGCCTCATCCTTGTCATTGTGCTCTGGAGTAGGACTTGAGGCATCAGTTCTTCCTGGACTATACTCATTGGACATTCTTGAGTTTTTCAGATGTCTTTTCTGTCTGAAGTTACAGATAAAAATAATTGTTACTTTTACCTTTAGGTCAATGTGACTATTTCAATTATAACAACATTGTGCACAGCATTCAAATGCAAAATAAACTACTGTCAAGGCAAAAGAAACTGTTGTTAGATATGTTTCTTGTATTAATGCTGAAGAGTTTTGTGACCCTATGTAGACCACTGACCAGTATACTGCTGACCGAGTACCGGGGACGAGGGAAAAACTGTGATCGAACAGCCATGCTTCCTAAAGTAAATGTTTATTATTTTATCTACTTTATGAACAATTCACAGGAGAATAAGCCTACCATTACTTAATTTATAAGTATGTTACTGTTATTTACAGCTATACTTGTTGTTCTAGTAATTCTAGCTTGTATTTTCTGTTGTAGAATCTCTTCTACATCATTGTTTGAAAATAAAGCTGTAACATCAAGGAGAACCCTTCAAATGCAGCTTGACCAACCTTTCTGCCCAGCCTTGGACAATCATTTCTTGTACTTTCTCTCCCTCGGTCACCTTTTCCACTGGTGGAAAACAGAAAGCAGTTGATTATCCAGGATGAAAATATGAATTCAAAATAGCTTAAACATAAAATTGATATGCACGATTACAGATAATAATACCGTACTTACATATAAAATCAGCTGGGTTAAAGTGTGCATCACAAAACAAACCAATACTCTCAAAGAAATCAAGAACCCTGTTTGCTTTACCATAGTATGCTACCTGTTATTAAAACAAAACAAAACAAAAAAAACCAAGTGTGTGGAGCATGAAGAAGAAAATGCTAAATACTTCTTTTTTAGCTCCTAGATACCTCTTAATTCATGCTGCATGTTTATAAGAATATGCTACATTTAATTAACAACTGTACCAGAAACCCTCCTGATAAGTTTAATTGTAAAAGAAAGTTTAAATAAAAGTAAGTGTAAAAGTGTAAAAATGTAAAAGAAAGTTTAAATAAATGTATAATGTATCTTTGGATTTTGTCTAAAGTGAATAAAACTATACCAATCCCAACCTTCTAATTGACTCTTCATTTGTCTATCGAAGAACACATTGATTTGCTTGGATACAAATTCTTATATCATACCTACACAGTCAACATAGTTCACAGAGGGATTGGGGACAGAGCCTGTTTTTCTAATTGTGAGCTGCAGCTTACATGACAGACAATTTGGTTAATACCAAAGACCTTTGGTGAAGTTTGTCAACCTTCATACACAAATTAAGATGTTTATAACTTGGATTGTCTGAGCTATAATCCATAAAGATTCATATTAAATGCAATTTGAAGGATCTTCACAAGTTTTTAATTAACAATTTTCACTGTGTAGCTATTCCAATAATAATAGTGTATTACTGAATAAAAAAAAGTTAATACATGTAGGTGCAAACAATTAACACAAACTTGCAAATGAATTAAGGTGAAATTTACTGATTCAGAAGCAAAAACTGTGAGCCACTGCACTCTCAAAGTCTCACCTGTCCTCCACACAACAATAAAACCTTGTCAAACATGTAAAAGATCTGGCTTGATGGCTGGTGAATGGTGGTTACCACTGTCTTCATTTCTCTTGCTGCAAAGCTCTTCAGAGTCTTGACAAGGTTCAAAGCATTGCTAGAGTCCAACCCGGATGTCGGTTCCTGACAAAATATACATTAGAATTTGTTATTATCTTAATTAAGAAATCAATGACCTTTTTATGAAAATATTTAGTCAAAATTGTATCAAATTCAAAAGAACTCACATCAAGAAAGACCAAGGAAGGATTTGTTATGAGCTCACAGCCAATGTTTGCTCTCTTTTTCTCACCTGGAAGGAAGTATGGAAATGTTAACTAATGAGGGTAAAACTGTTATTCTGGAAAATTTTATCACTGCATGCACTCCCATACACTGAAATATTACTTCCTGAAGCTGTAGCATGGACTATCAAATGAGGTAGAATCGATAATCCACTCTGGAGTTAATTAAAGGTTTCTTTTTTTAGAGGGATGTATGTGCTGCTCAAGATGCTCATTCTTCTACAGATTGAAAAAATTTTATCCAACAATTTGAATAGCTTGGTTTTTAAGTACTCTCAATACCATTTCTCAGCAATTAGGCATAACAAACAACTACAGTTAAACCTGTATTATGCGGTCACTCATGGGGAATGGTGGGGTGACTGCTAAAAGTTCACCGCTTAATACAGGTTCCACAGATTAGAGGTATTATTAAAGAAACAATACAAAATACCCCGATATGCCATAACTGTGCACTTAATGTGCAGAATCTTGCTCAAATATACTACTAATTTTGATTTTGGGAAAGAAATATGGATTGAAAATTACTTGAATGAAAGATTATTCTTAGTTTTATTTGAGTGGTCCCACTTCAAGTGACCATTCATTATACTGGTTGAGGACATTATACAAAAAGTTCACTCGAACTCTGTCGGGTGACCATGACTGCTTTAATTCATAGAGGTGACCACTCAATAGAGGTGAAAGTCACAGTGATTAGTGGAAAAAAATTCAGGACTTAAATTACCACTGACCACTTAATAGGGTGCCCTTTATACAAGTTCAACTGTATGCAAATCATTGGTCCTCTGTTTGTGAATACAGGTAATTGTTACTGCACTTTGGGCACTTAACAGATAATACAAAAAATTAATTCCTTGCACAAAAGACCTAAAGCTTGACCTAATTTGGACAGTCACCAAACATATGGAAAATGCCTTTGTGCCTGAATGTCCAAGGGGCAACATCCAGGCCAGACTAAAATGAATTGCACTGTTCTTAAGATTTCCATTAGTTGTATTTCATCTGAACTGCTTACAACATACAACTGATTTAGAAAGACATTTTATGTTGCATACCTCCAGACAGTCCTCTTTCAAAAGGGCTTCCAATCTCTGAAAATAGTTTAAACCAATTGCAAAAGACTTGAGGTCAGATATATATATATAACTGCATGCAGACAGTACTGTTTTGGCCTTCTGAGCTTCGTCAGTGCAGTGCTGATGCTAGGATGGGGGAGAACCAATATGGATCCCCAAACGATCCCACACTTGTGGTATTGTCTAAGCCATGCCAGAGTGCTCAAACTAGAAGAGCCTAGTGAGCCATGCACAATGCTAGCGGTGATGACATCCCACAGTGCTCAATTTGGACATGAAAGCAGAGCTTTGTATGCCAAAGAGATATCTATATATATATACATACTTAAATAGAATAAGTGTTTGAAAAGAAAATTTGCCCTCAGCGGGATATGAACCCACGTCCCCCTGTTACTAGTCAGGTGTGATGACCACTACACTACTTTCAGGACAACCATGCTGGCAACACGGCAATTGAAGATGTGATTGACGTGGTCAGAGACGTGGTCTCCCGGGAAACTTAATTTTCAAGGTGACAGGGTAGGGGAAGCCTATAACCCCATATGAAAACCCAACTAAGGATCTATTAAAGATACACGACCGAAGTTAACTTAGCGGATGACAAAGGAGAATCCAATTACGGATACAGGCTAATTTCAATTAAACAAATTCTGTATACGAGGGAAACCCTGACCCTGTACACCCCAAATAATCATACTTAAATAGAATAAATGTTTGAAAAGAAAATTTGCCCTGAGCGGGATATTTAACAATTATTCCACGAGCGCGTGTTGGATATGAGATGATAGATAGCCAAAGAGGCGCGTAGCGCCGAGTTGGCTATAATCATCTCATATCCAACAA